TGTGAGTGTGTGTGTGTGTGTGTGTGTGTGTGTGAGTGTGTGAGTGTGTGTGTGTGTGTGTGTGTGTGGGTGTGTGTGTGTGTGTCAGCGCTGGGCTGCAGTCGGACTCATTCAGCCGTGACTCTGGGCGACTGGAGCGACCCGTTAGATCCTGATGCTGAAACACAGATCATTTAGAAAGAGCTGCTGCAGGGCCGAGACACACTCAGGTGTGTGAGCGTCTTTACCTGATCGCTGCGACTCCTGTTACTATGTAGTACTGTAAACGCCCAGCAGGTGGCGCTGCTGTATGACAGAAATCAAGGAGTACTGTCATTATTAAAACACTATTATTATTATTATTATTATACATTCAATGCAGTCTAAGTGACTTTGGATAAAAACATCTCCCAAATGCATATATGTAAATGTATTATATTATGCATTTACTGCATTTACTGAATGTCATGAAGAACTGTTTGTTTCATATTTATTTCACATTAAAATAATTTAATATTCTAATTGTCACAATGCAAATGCAATGCTTACTTTTTCTAAAATCAGGTTTCATTTTCTTTGTGCCAAATATAATTGTATTTATTTTTTATATTTATTTCATTCATTTTATTATTTATTTATTATTATTATTATTAATGTAGCTTGAATGCAATGTAAATCACTTTGGATAAAAGCGTCTGCCAAATGCATGAATGTAAATGTGTTTTAGTATAATTTCTCTTTTATATGCTGGGTGAATGTCAATGAAGAAATGTCTGTCATATTTATTTCACGTTAAAGTCATGAGAATTTGTGGATTAAATATTTTTGTTAATTAATATTAATTAATATTATTATTATTTGTTACAAAGCAAATGCAATGCAATATTAATTGTTATAAAATCAGTGTTATTTTAATACAATTAATATAATGTTATAGTATTTTTTAAAATATTTTGTATTTTTATTTCCATTTTAATTTTAATTTTATTTAACATTTTACTAATTTTGTTATTTTTTTATTTATTTTATTTAATTTTTATTTTTTAAAGATGTCTGTATAGTTTTTATTAATTTTTATTTCCATTATCGTTATTTTAGTACTAAATTAAATGAAAATGAGATTTTTTGCCTTGGCAACTAGTTAAAATAAAATACGATTAAAATATTTTTTTCAATTAAACGTTTAAAATGTTATTCTATTTCAGTTAACAAGTATACATAAAATTATTTTTTATGGTTTTAGTTTTAGTTAATGATAATAACCTTATTAGTATTATTTTCTATGTGCAGAATATTTATTTCTTTATTTATCACCCATGTTTTGGACAATCTTAATGACATTCACCATGTTGCTACAGTGATTAATATGAATGAACCACCACCACAATCAAACAATGCCATATTAATTAAGAGTTTACAGTATGAACAATAACTATCTGGTACTCCATAGTTACCATGGTAAACGTCTATAGGGAAGAAATCCTCACTGTGCTCTATTTCTGATGTTTGGCACACAGGAAGCAGTATCTGGAGACACAGGAACAGGAAGAGCCGCTGAAGGCCAGTCAGCCGTCATCAGGCTGATCTGTAGACAGCACAGAACACGTGTTGAAGCGTCTCCTCTCTCTCTCTCTGTGTGTGTGTGTGTGTGTGTGTGTCAGTGTCTGCGCAGGGCCGAGATCCAGACGAGAGCCTGAGCTCATAGAGACGACCAGCTTCAGGAACAAGAACTCAGATTATGCAATGTTTTCCAATCAAACTCCAGTTATTGATGAACGTCCGTGGAAATTTTTTTACTGTATTTTAAATTTTTTAGTATTTGTACTTTGAAGTGTTTTTATTATCTTGATGCTTTTTTATGGAGGGCCAAATTACTCAATTAAATCATTAAATAAATGTTGAAATATATAAATAAATCGTTAAATACATAATTAAATAAATATTAATTATTATTAATTATTATTAAATTATTCATGTATTTATGTATTTATACATTTCATTTTCAGGGTTTCGGGACGTGCCGACAACCATAACCCTGCGTTTATTTATGTATTTAACGATTTATTTACTCAACATTTATTTCATGATTAATTTTGAGTAATTTGGCCCTCCATAGATTTGATCACAGAACAAACTGAGACAGACTCAATCCAGAAGAACTGACGCTTCAAGAAAGCTCCTGAGAAACTCTGCTCAAGTGCGCTGAGAGCAAAAGCTGCTTTAAACACGAAGGATGCTTGCACCAAATGTTGATTTCATTTAGTTAATAAAAGTGAATTGATAAAGAAAATCTATTTATGACATTATTTTTGACAGCATTCTCATTTTACAGCATTTTTACACAAGTGCCTAAAACTTTTTATAGTACTGTAGCTTTGCAGGAAGCTTTCTTGAAGCGTCTCGGAGACACAGTTCTTCTGGATTGAGTCTGTCTCAGTTTGTTCGGTTTCTTCATGTCCTTCCAGACAGACTCATCAGATCTCTGCGTGCGGCACAAACTAAAATCTCACTGCATTATTACAATTCATGGCAAAATGAGTGTTTGGAAATATAAACCGATATTTCCTACTGACACACTACAGCAAAAGATAGAAATAACTGACTTAAAACCAGTTTTTAGCTGCTGAAAATACTACTGTTCTAATAAACTTGGCCACCACTGTATCTCATCAACATTTATACATTTATGAGATTTAAAATTCCACAATATTTCCAGGTTCTTTAATAACTGTGGGAAACGTTTGGGGCGGTATAGGATTTTATCCATTTATTATTATTATTATTATTATTTATGTTTTTGAAAAGTTTGGGTTTGTGACTACATTCTTGCATGATCTTTCACTGTTTCACATATATTTTTTGCTTTTATATACACAACCATTCAAAAGTTAGGGGTCAGTAAGATTTTTTTTTTTAATTACTTATTAAAAATGCAGTAAAAACATTAATATTGTGAAATATTATTACAATTTCAAATAAGTGTTTTCTATGTGAATATGTGTTAAACTGTAATGTATTTCTGTGATGCGCAGCTGTATTTTCAGCATCATTCCTCCAGTCTTCAGTGTCACATGATCTTCAGAAATCAGTATAATATGCTGATCTGCTGCTCGAGAAACACTTCTGATTATTAT